CCGCGATGCCAGCCCCGCGTGGAGCTCGCTGCTGGGCAGCTGCCGGGTTTCAGGCCACACCGGACGCTGCGTCGTACCTTCCTTTGTTTTGTACTTCCCAACTCCAGTGTGATGGAAGCGGTTCGTAACGCGCGGCGTTGACCCCCGTGGCTCTGCCTTGGGGCCTCGCCGGGCTGGAAGGGCCGGGGTACTTCTCAGCCGACGCCAGGCGCTGTCTTACGCTCCTGACCTTACGCTGCGTGACCTTGGCATTGCTACAAGCCGTGCTAACTCTCTTTTAACCATTTTAAAGCACACAAGTTAATCAAAATAACCTCCAAATGTATTTTATTCTAATAAATCCATACAAACACCAACATGTATTTGTCATTTGCACTTTTTTTAAACCATTCATTTTAAACAACAGGTTGACTTCTGTACAACAGGAATTACTTTACACATCAGTAAGATCTGACTTCAAACTAGATGACTGCAAAATAATGCTCTGTAAGCTAGTGTTAGAAAATACGCTGTTTGCCATAGCAGTTTGCCTGTAAACATGTGAAAATAAGTTCAAGAGAAGTTTGCTTTCATTTCAGAGAACGCTATTGGAATTGTTGGGTTGCCATAACACAGCTTTAGTCAAGAGGTGGTTCCGTTTGTCCGCGTAACAGTAAGAGCGAATTGCAGAGACGGGGAGGTGTGCCAATGTTTCGTGTGTGCTGACCCAAACCTACCAAAAGAGCCACAATCACTGAATTATACTTCACATCACTTCGTGAGATCCACTGGATGGGTTACAACGTCCCAGCATGACTTTAAATGGTTTACTAACAGAGTGACGCTGTTTAGGAGGCTTGAATAAAAGGCAAGAATCCTATTCCAGGCTGTCGGCTAAAGCTACCGGGCCTGCTTCAACACATACTTAATCTCTAGAAATCATTAAAGCTATTGCAGCAAACAAGCAGTAGTACAAATACAGAATAGGACTGGTTTTTCATTTCCTCATCATATAAACACACATAGCGAAGTTCACAGGATCAGACCCACGCAAACAGATTATATTTTACAGCTTTTCAAGCAGAAATGTTGGGTTGTTTTGTTGTTTTCTGCCTGTACAGAAGGTTACTGTTGAACAAAACTCTCTCAGTTCATTCAAATGCACTGCCAGCAAACACCTGAAGTGGAACGGCGCGGCCGAAGCGGCTGTCTAACTGGAAAGAGTTATCTGCTCATGCCCCTCCTTTAATATTAATTACTGTGCTTTTTTTTTTTTTTAATTTATTTGATGCTTCTTTAAAATGTTAGGTTAAGAATGATAAAAATCAAGCCCTTAAGTACAGGTATTCCAAGCTTAAGTGCTACTCAAGCCACGGTCCACGCCTTTAGGACTGAGGGCAAGATAGGTTAGGGTTGGGGTAGGTGGGTTTTTTTTTTTCCAATTAAAATTAAACTTATCAAAACATATTGTGCCAGGCAGAGAAGAGAACTGCTGAAAGTACTGCAACATTGTAGTGCAGTTTCCTGAACAAAGCCATACATTCCATCAAGTATAAAGTGTAAACTTAACAGCAAGTGTAAGACCTGAATTAAAAAAACCAAAACCAAACCAAACCCCAAAAAGCCATCACAGTATGGGTTTGTGTCTGCCCTCGCCGATACGCAAGAGGTACAACTTGTGCAATCACGGGGTGGGAGGGGGCAGAGCAAGGGGGTTTTGTGTTTGCTTTTTTTGCCACGTTAACAGCCGGCCTCGCTTCTGCCAAAGCGTTCGCCGGCGCCGGCTGTGTGCCGTGGGATTGTGCCTGGGATCAGGCACCCAAACCGGACAGCTTTAGTGCCGTTGTACCGCGGCCTCTGGGCTCCTCCGAAGCAGCAGCACAGGGCAGTAAATTGAGTTACTACTCAGTTGAGCGCTCTGCTGCCTGGGAGCCCTGTGTAGGCGTCTCTGGCTGGTGACAGCCCCAGCGTCGCCTTTCCAGCCTGAACTGGGGCCACCTGTGCCAGTCACAGCCCATGGCACCCTTGCCACTGCGGAGGCAGGGGACGGCTCTTCCCTCTGGAAAGGTGTGGAACTGTAACTCTTCCTGCAAAGCTCAGGGCAGGCGGCAGCCTTAGCGAGTGCCTCCGCAGGACTGAAGCGGAGACCACAGCAATGAACCAGTTCAGCTCAGCAGCGGAGGGTCGGACCATGCTGGTGGGGTAGCGGAGCCAGAGCCACGGCTGCTCCTCCGTGGCTTTGCATGGGATCCACAGCACCGGCCTCCTCTC